ATCTTCTAAACAGAGAAAATTGGTCATTTGTTTACATTGCTAGAAACCGTTCACCACTCCTATGAATCTTAATGCTAAACTATAGAAATGCAAGTTATTAGTTTTGTACCTAGCCACCAAAGCAATGATTGTAGTCATAACAAATTTAATGGCCACTTATATTATTTCCTTTATTTTAGGCAAGTAAAAAAATGTTATTCAATAATAATTTCTCTGTATTCCAAACGATTTAATTAAAAATAATCTATTTTATAGTGTGAGGCCGGGACCTCACCCCCTCTCCAATGGGAAACTGGTTGTCGAGCTAAAGCTAATAAATCAATGATTTATTTCGTAAACAGGAACGAGTGTAAGACGATTTAATTGTCGCATTCCCAGACCAAATTCACACGTCCTCGATCTAGATCAGGGAAGGTGGGGGAGAGTTCGACTGTCATCTTACAGCGGGTTCAAAGCACATTAGACCAAAATTTACGAGACCGTCACTAAATATTCTTGAAAACGCATTTCAAAAATTAAGCAGTATTTTAATACAGTTTAATCCAGTAGCTACTCAACACAATATCATTTCAGAATTGCAACATTTTAAANATAATACGAATATTGACACATAAAAGCATATTTCTGCTAACAAGAAAATCTTGTAAACCAGTTCAGAAAATTTTAACAATTGACTTTACGACATTGTTATCATTTGATCAAGTTCATTGGAAGAAAAATAAAAATTAAATAATATGTAAATATAAAGCATGAAAACCCTTAGGTTAGTTTATGAATTATCATAAAAAATATATGTTTTCAAGATTTATTAGAATAATAAATTTTTTTTCTAATTAATTGCTCCGTTACTGGTTTCTGTGGATTTCTTTTTTTAAAAATATCCCTAAAGTTTTTGGCTTTTTTTATTAACTTATCACACAAAGAACTGTTATTATTACAGTGGCCTGCGGTGACATTTGATGATAGGGAAGCTGTGTTTGCATAAAAATTTCAAACAAATATACTGAAAATAACAAAAACGAACGGTTTATTTTAATTCTAAAACAGATAACTGACACGAAACAAAGATATAAAAACTTGTTTTTATTATTTTTCATAAACTAACTCTTTTCGGCAATTCTTTTCCGCAAAGTCGTTAATTTCTTTGTCATAAAAATCGTTGGTCGTCGATTCCATCAAAGTACTTAAAAGCACTTTTTCTATCGAAAGTAACGCTAGTGACGACAATCTGTCCTCCGTCCGAATGTTCCTTGTAAATTCATCAATTCGTTTCTCGGTTGATATACTGCGCTCAACAGACGCTCTCGTAGATGGTACCGTAAAAATTAATATTAAATCATATAATTCTAATAACAATCCACTTAGTCAAATAACTCCCTACGAGTGGCTAATGGAATCGTTGGAAACGTTATACGATATTTTGGTGTGTAGCATCCACGTGCTAAATCGCCAGAGGTTGGTGTCATGTAAAGCGAATGCGTATAATCTGGCTGCTTCACACCGTTCAAATATGTCATGAAGAAATGGTTGTCAGATGTCACTAATAGTTAGACCATGGTTTAAGTTTATTTTAGGCCTATATTCATTTATTTTAATAATTTCTAAATATTCAAATAATTTCTTTTTAATAATATTTTTTGAATATTTTAACATCATCAAGTGAGATCTCGCAATCTTCTCCATTAAGATATAGGCCTACTGCTGAAATAGTGTAATTATGTTTAATTGCACGTAAATGTGTTCTTAGACTAATTTTTAGTCCAGCTTACCTATGTATTGATAATTGCATTATTTTATTGCATCGTATTAATAATTTAAACAATTCTTTAGTTTTAGCAATTTTTTCATACAAAATACAGGAGCTACAGTCATATTATACAGTTTTAATAGTTTTTTTTTTTTACTTTGTCATACTCTATGGGGATGTAAATAAGTTCTTTATAGGGTGTTTGAGTTTGTATTGTATTTTTTGGGTTGTATTAAGATCAGTATTGTAAAGCCATTTTCCTATAATTTTATTTGGATTTATTTCTTTAGTTTATTGAAGATAATTGCTCGTACGTGTCTTAATTTCGGTGATATACATGTTAATTTTTTTCTCTTGATATACATAAGTATGCTGGAATAATAATTCATAATTTTTCCTTCATTACACGGTTTAATGTATTTTTTGATACTTAATCTGATATGAGACTTTTGGACTGTGATGTCTAAATTGCCAATATTTTCACGTTTGATATCAACAATTATGTTAGTTACCATACTATTGGCACAGTCGAAGATGATTTGAAGGTTTAGTATTATCATAAATGATGAAGCAATTATCTACATATCTATCGCATTCAATTATTCCACGGAGGTTTCTAATAATTTGATCTATTTTTTTCATACATAACTTTAGGGCTTATACATGAGCCCACGAAGATAACTTCCAATTGTCTGAAAAAATTTGAATTACAAATAAAATTTAAAACAAATTGAACCAGTTCAATTACGGAANTTCAATTATTCCACGGAGGTTTCTAATAATTTGATCTATTTTTTTCATACATAACTTTAGGGCCTTTATATGAGCCCACGAAGATATCTTCCAATTGTCTGAAAAAATTTGAATTACAAATAAAATTTAAAACAAATTGAACCAGTTCAATTACGGAATTATCACAGTTTAAATTAGTCAATGTATCAATTATAGTATAAGGTTTTTATGTATAGATGGATACATACTTTTAATGTCTAGGCTCAATATTCTGCAGTTATTACTAATATTCTTGTAATGTATTATATGCGTTTTAACTTTAATATTAAGTCTAGGAATTCTTAAAATTGTCATCTAAAATATTGTTAAAATCATTCATATTAATATTATTCGTCCTTTTTAAAAGTTTAAGTATTTTTTCTAAGGTTTCTCGTATGACAGGATCTTCATTCATTTCTATATATTGATGTGAAGTGACGAAACCGAGTTTAATGTTTTCATATTTCAGTTTTCCATTATAACGATTGATCATGATTTATCAGCGGGAACAATAATTAATTGATTATCAGTTTAAAAACTTTTAGCTTGTGTCATTTGATTGATGAATCTAACCTATTAAGTTTATTTTTTATTTTGTTATCTATATCTATATCTATATATAAAAATGAACGTGTGTGTCCCTATATTTTACATTTTAGCCAAAACTACACATCGCACATGAATTGTGTTTGTATGTGGTAGTAGCCACAAGTCTCCATTCGTGCACTATGGTAGTTGCGTCTCGATAGCTGTAAGGGTGCGGGAGATATGGGGTTGAAAGTGGTTGACTTCGAAGATGTGTAACAATGGAAGTGTTAACAGTGGAAGTGTTAACAATGGAAGTGTTAAGAATGGAAATGTTAACAATGGAAGTGTTAACAATGGAAGTGTTAAGAATGGAAATGTTAACAATGGAAGTGTTGAGTAACAAAGGAGGTGTTAATATAAAGCGGCATGCAAGATTTACAGGCGTTTTTGCGGGAAATCGAACATATTTTTAGACTCATGTAAAAATTGTCTAATTAGTTTGGAAACGGAGGACCTAATTCTTGCATTCTGTGAAAACGGGTAAGATTGGCTATAATGTAATTATCTTAATCTTCGCTATCGTTACTTTCTGCCCACAAATAAAAACCCAGCGAAGCGGGTCCTTAAAGCTAGATTCCAGATTACTTAGAAAAACAGTCTTTTATATATAAAAAAACTACATTACATACAAATGTAACCCTAGCTTGTAAAAACCCAGCGAAGCGGGTCCTTGCAGCTAGTTTGATATAATATTTTTACGAATAATTCGTAATTGTTCTTTTTGATCGGTTTGTATTTTACTCAATATGTATTCTAAATATACTATAAATTCTTTATCATTTATTTTTGTTTAAACATTAAAATTTAATCCTTTAATTAAGATATTTTTAACGCTGTCTGGTATTACACAGTTCGTTTGATTTACAATTAACCTCTGTTCCCAATTTATTCTTTCGTTAATTGTCGGATATTGTGCTTTTCTAACTAATTTATTACATTTTCTTAGAGTATACGGATTATTATAGTTTACAGCGCATTTATATTTTACATAAAATTGAAAATAATAATAAATTACGATATTTCATTATAAACACATTTTATATTGTAAACTATTATAAAATTGCAGAAAGCTTCAGCAATTCTGCTGAAGCTTTCTGAGGGTAGGTTCAGGTTTTGAGGGTAGGTTCAGGTTTTATATATATAAAAAACAAATGTAAATGCTAATAACGAGTAATATTGTCATTAAGTCTGACCCTACTCGAGATATACACAACTCTCTTTTATCTTCCCACCTCTTCGACCTTTAACCACCAATAATTAATTAATAAAAGCATCAATCTCTTAATATACGAACCGTTTCAAAAATATACAAACCGACGAAAAGAATAGGAGTTATTAAACTTCAAAAAAGATGAACAAAATCGTGCCCCCCACACACATATGAACTAAACTTGATGCATATGTTCAAGCTCCACTAGTGTTAAACATTTCTAAAATATACGCAATTTTAATAACATATAAGTTTAGAATCGGCGGTAACATTTGAATATTGAATATAATGTATGACATATTATATCCAAATTTTATTGGAAAAAAAAACATTAAGAGTACATAATATTCTTTATTTTTCGGAAAATACAGTAACGTATGAGTTATTTGAAAGAATTGTCGAGAATTTTTGCCACGAAAAAAGTAATATTCTTTATTTATTTAAAAATATGGTTAACACGTATTTTTATTTTTCCTGTCTCTCTCTCTTTTTTTAAGTGGCCCAATATTGTCTTCTGGCTCGGGGCATCAATCGACCCTAATCCGCCTCATATCTTTCCCTCGCCAACTAACAACAATAACATAAAACAGTACTAATAAATTAATTGAAAAAATAATAACATATTCATAATATCTTTACCTTCTTGCGATTCTAATCAATAAAATTTTTATAGTTATATTTACGAGTTTTAATAGGAAATTTTAGTTTTTCTCTTAGAGGTTCGGTCTTTGCATATTAATTAGTTGCGAAGTAAATGTATATAAATACCACGAGATAATTAGGAAAAGAAGCAGAAGAAAGCTGAAAACATGATTATGACACCGCTCGTTGTTTTAATTTCGGTTGTTTCTTCAATTACCTGTAGAGAAATTTGGAACGAAGGAAACGATCATCATCCGTTTGTAGCGGATATGATAGTTGCCAGATACTGCGGTAAGATTTTAATTAATAAAAGAAATTATACGTTTGTCGGTTGGTAACGATTATTTTACTTAATTGAAATAACTCATGCTGTTCACGAGTCGATTTATATTAATAAGAAAATAATTAATTTCCAATATTTAATTTCATGCAGCTTTGAAAGATCGTGCCCGTGCTCGCTATTGTTCATTAGAAAATCACTTCGTACTTGTAAGCATAATTCAATACGTTTGCCTTTTCCTTAATATTGTTTAATAATAAATAATAATTTATGTATATGTATTTAATTAGATCAACGAGTTTCACAAAAATTGCGTTCAACAAGTAAAATTTTTTCAAACTTTCGAAGAAATAAATGCATTTATATGCAACCGCAAACACAGTTTGGTAATTATTCGATATATATTTTTAGGATAATAAACGAATTTGTATTCCATAAATTAACTCAACAATTATTTCTAATACAGGAATACGCAAAATATATAAAATGTTTTCGTGCAGCTATGTCTGCTCTCAGTCAAGACAGTCCTTCGACCATTCCTAAAACACTTGTAAGTCGATTTTAAATTAGATTTTGTTAAATATCAAAACGTAAGGTATTATTTGTTGTGTCACATTGTTTAATATAGTTTATTCTTTTCTTTTAGAAATGTTTAACGCTGGTGGAGAACCTCGAACATAAAGATAACCATCAAATTCATCCAAAATTTTTTCTTTAGGACTGTAGATTTAATTAGAGAAAATCTAGATGTCTTGTAATTACATTTAACATTATTATCCAATCATTGTTTAATCTTCGAAACATTAAATCGCGTCATCAATGTAACTATTTAATTACTATTGTCTGTTAAGTGCTATTACCATAACGGAGTCTTAATAGGCAATAATAATACAAAAAATAGATTTAAGGACGTAAAGACATTACTATTTTTAATAGTATTTATATAAAATATTTCTCGATGTGATTACTTTTTGTTGTAGTGTCGTTGTTGTTCGTAATAACGTTGGTGAATTAAAATAACTGAAATACTTTATAGTACGAATAATAGAAATTTAAAAACAGTAAATTAATATATTTTCTGTAATATTAAAAATGTAAAGTATTTTCTTATTGTGTAATATTAAGAGTCATTCAAAGAATTTTGTCTTATTATTTGTTAAGTGTATTATTGTATATGAAGTGTTAAATAAAAGAAACTGTCAAATAAAATTATATACTGTATATGTGATATTGAATAATTCAGAATCGTTCACTGTCAAGAAATTCTTCACAATTTTGACAATTTACAGTAGTTTTCCAACAGAAAGTCCTAATATTTTTGGTACTTTTTGACAAAGTCGTATTATTTACGATATAATCTGTAAGTTGTCAAATAACAGGAAAAATAAATAGTTTGAGTCTGGATTGTACCACATAATTCGAAATTCGAATCACGAGGAGCTTAACTCTGATCGATTGCAAAGACAAATACAAAGATTTATCAAATGTAATAAAACTTTTATGCTTTTTCTGCAAATTTTAACTCTAAAACAGTTGAAAAATAAAATAAATTAAATGATATAATTAGTTTTTACGTTTTAAATTACGTTATAATGTGACAGGATTGAGTAGAAACAGATTAATCTCAGCTTAACTTTCTGCCAAACTCTCCATAAAAGTTACATGTTACATAATTTTCTGAGATTTAGGCTACAAGATTCTGCCAAAATTATGGTATTTCTAAGGCTGTGATAATTCGAGATTCTTCTATAAATTTTTATGGAGGTATAAAGCAAATTCGTGAAAATGGGAGACTACGAATTTGTTATCGAAACGGAACAGGAAGACTTCTGATTATTGGTTTCTAACAATATACAGTCCGCAGTAAACTGGACAATATAAAAGCAAATTAGTTCGATCATCTCCCGCTTGATGCCCGCAGTCGACTCGATGTCATCCTATTATACGTCACACCAGAGTCGATAGATATACTGGTCCTTGCGCTATGCTCTCAAGTTCGATTAATGTCTCAGGTTGCCGATAGCTGACGTGAGAGTCGCTCTATAGGAAACATCACATAAATACACGTCATAATGATACTGACTCACTAAGCTTATTTTATTAATAAGCAGTGCAGACTTTTACCTTAATTTAGTAGTGGATAATTCGTTAAAATTGAAAAGAATGTTCAAGCAACTATTGTTTATAGTCATACTATTAAAATTATCATAATTCCATGTGGATAGAATTCAAGTATTTTATTTCACATATTGCATTTGTCAGTATAATTCAGCTCGAATATCTTTGGATTTTATAAGAAATTCTTTTCTATTTTACCAATTGAATATTAAACATCCTATTTATATTAAATGCTAATTATATTAAACTAGTTACATTACGATGAATAGAATTTTATGATAACAGTAAGATTTTTATTTATTTATACATGTGATTTGCCTTGATCAAATTACAAATATTATCTACATTTGTAATTTAAAGTTTCCGAATGACAGATAGCATCATACCATTAGACAGATACAAAAGTATCACAAAACTGGCCTAAATATTTTTTTGTTTTTGTCAGGATAAACTTGTCATTTTATGTTATGTATATGTGGTAGAGTCAAAAATAAATCAAACTTTTATTAAAACTTATTATGTAAGTAGAACAAAAGACTCAACTTCAAAATAAGCACCTTCTGCAGTTACACACGTCAACTAATAACTACTTATTAAAACATTTCCTCTTCAATATAATCATGACAGTAACTTTTACTTTATTGCAGCACTTTTTTGATGTGAAATATCTGGTGCATTGTCCATTTGTTCTTGACAATAGACCTGTTAACTGTAGTCCTAAACATTTACTGTATCAGGAGGCAACCAAGAATGTCAGACAAAAATGTGACCGGAGGGTCGACACCTCTTTGATGCCCCGTCAAGACTGGCACCACCGTGTCTCGTTCGACACGGAAGCCGCGACGGCGAATTAGTTCGAAAGTCGGTCACGCGAGCGGCAGTGTGTGTTAGCGATCGGATTCTGGATGGAGACTGAGACAGCGATGTTGGAAGTGATTCACTAAAGTTCCATTTAAACAAACAAATAACCGTTTATTTGTATGGAGAGAAAAANTTTTTAAATTTGCGAATATTCGAATTCAATTATCTGGACATGTGTGACCGATTAACCGGAGTTTGAAACTGATTCTTGACCGCATTGATTACGTGAATACCATATTAAAAATTTGGGGTTCTGGACTCAATATTAAACGAGATATACAAGACTTCCGGTCTATATTTGGACGGTCATAACGGGCTTCCTGTTTAGAATTTTTAAATAATATTTAGGCATTTCTATCTAGACATCAAATGCTAATTTATCCGAAAATTTTATATATCTGCAATAGTTTTCAAATTATCGCAATTCTTAAAATTACAACTTTTATCAACTTTCTTCTGCAGTGCCATCGTCATCGAACTTTCTAGAACTTTAACCGGAAATACCGATTTTTTTCCGTTTTTTTTTCATAATTCACTATACATTACTTTAAGAAAGTCGTTAAAAACCGTTGAATAACTTGTAAACAAGTAACGACTTGTACAGTCAACGACCGTTGCTATGGAAACGATCGTTATAAAAAAACCGGTTGAGGCCGGTCAAGTTAAGAAATTGATTTAAAACTGAAATTGCTCTAATTTCTTTAATTTTCGGAATAAAGTATTCAAATTTTTAGCGAAATTTACAATTAACACCCTTCTTCTGATAGAAGTTGAATTTTTTACCGATGATCAATAGGAAGCCCGATGCCGGCCGATTTAGTTCTCCGAAAAAGTCGTTATAACTCAAAAACTAATAGGGCCAGAATTACCAAATTTTTAAACAGTACTCACATATATGTTCTCGATGAGATTCCGCTGCGATTTCCGGAAAAACGGTCCCGAAAATGCCGAACTTTACACTATGATATCTCCAAAAATTCTGGTCCTATCTTTTGAATTCTTTTTTCATCGTAGTCCTCGTTGTTAGCTAATTCCAAAAATATATCGCTTTACCATAAAAAAGTTAAATCCTCGGCAAAACTGACCGATAAACAGGATCTCACTTTTGCATGACTTTCCTGGCTCACTGCTCGACGCCCTCTAAGGGCTGTTTCACACTATGACCGACTGGTCCGACCTACCCGACCGATTTTGTAATCGGACCGACTAGTAGTAAAAGAATTCACATTATACGTCGGTGGCCGACTCATAAGGACCAATCAGAACGCGTGTTATAGATCAATACAATAGCCAATCATGGTAAGTTTTTTAAATTAAACAGAAAACATGGCCGTCATGGAAAGCAATCGTGCATTTAGATATATCGTGTAATCATGACAGTAACTTTTACTTTATTGCAGCACTTTTTTGATGTGAAATATCTGGTGCATTGTCCATTTGTTCTTGACAATAGACCTGTTAACTGTAGTCCTAAACATTTACTGTATCAGGAGGCAACCAAGAATGTCATACAAAAATGTGACCGGAGNTAATCATGACAGTAACTTTTACTTTATTGCAGCACTTTTTTGATGTGAAATATCTGGTGCATTGTCCATTTGTTCTTGACAATAGACCTGTTAACTGTAGTCCTAAACATTTACTGTATCAGGAGGCAACCAAGAATGTCATACAAAAATGTGACCGGAGGGTCGACACCTCTTTGATGCCCCGTCAAGACTGGCACCACCGTGTCTCGTTCGACACGGAAGCCGCGACGGCGAATTAGTTCGAAAGTCGGTCACGCGAGCGGCAGTGTGTGTTAGCGATCGGATTCTGGATGGAGACTGAGACAGCGATGTTGGAAGTGATTCACTAAAGTTCCATTTAAACAAACAAATAACCGTTTATTTGTATGGAGAGAAAAAGGATGCATGATACGTACCATACTAGGTCGAAATAACGATATACCGTAGGTGATCGAGAGAGAGAGAGAGAGAGAGAGAGAGTTTACACTAGAGCACGCGGGGATAAATACCTTGGAGAGGAGTGGAGATCCGGTGTTTGCTGGTTAGGTACGGTACGTTTCGGGAATAGTTCTTGCGAAGTAGGTCATTCGAAAATAGTTTGTTGCTTGTAGGTATAGTCACAGACGAGAGAAATGAAGTATTAGTGGCCGAGAGATCCAGCGATATAATATGTAAAAAGAGTTCGGCAGGAGCACACACGCGAGTAATCCGCTCGTGGACTAGACGACGACTGACGATTGTTGGTAGCTAATTGTCATATTAAAATGATGAAATCAGGACGGCAGGTCAAAAAATCGCGAGAAAGTGTTGAGAACTAAAAATGATATATGTGAAAGTTGATTACTGTGTGGACAAATTTGATGCTATGATGTTAAGTTGTTACTTTGAAGTCCGGATTCTCACAAAAATGATCTAATTTCAAAGCAAGCACACAGCTGGATTCTGTCATGACATCTGTGTGACACATGTAGGACACATGCTCCCCTAATCAGAGAATATTTGGCAAAAATCAGATACCTTAATTTCCACAATTTTCTTAATGGATCTTTCCCTCATCAACTTTTTTGTCCACCAAAATGAAAGCTCTATCGAAGGATCATAAATTCTAATTAACAAAAGAAGTAAAAGTATTGCAATGATTGCACCCAAGAAGATAACAGAATGGACTGCAGGACCGTTTTAATAAAAGTACAGACATTGTCAGAAGTATGCAACTGTAGATGGTGTTTATTTTGAAGATGGTCGTCTGTAAATACTTTTATTATGTTAATAGTTTAAATTATGTTAAAAGTTTATTTTCGACTGTATAATGTATGCCATTTTGTAGATGTTTAATATAAATATTTTTTCTTTTTATATTATTCCAATATAAACTAAATCAACTAATTTAATATAAAATATCTTCAAAATATTGTAGTGTGTTGTCACTTAACTCCTTATCCCCTGGACCTGTACCACCAGAATTTAATAGCCTGGATCCTCCTAATACACAAACTTTCCTGCAAAATTTCAGAAATTTTCAATGAAAAGTACGGGTGTTATTAAGCTTCAAAATGAATGAATAAAATCGTGTCCCGCACTCAAACACTAACATCCATCCATACAGAAAATACCTCAGAATTTTTTTTTCACTTCTCGACATTTCAAGGTTTCATTGGACAAAACAGACAAATATTATATTCTAGATAATAAGAAGTTTGTGGTATTATATCTTTTCATATCAAGGGAATAAACATGACTTCGAATTGAATTTTCATTTCTTTCATAAAATATTCTAAACAATATACAGGAGAATTATTTAAATTAATTAAGAAATAAACTTATAGTTTATTACACGGGAGAAACATTCAGTAAAAGTTTCCTCAATAAAATATTTAATTTCAATAAACGAGTGATTTCGTCACTTCTTTCAGGTCAATTGTACGTTATCCTGTGTGAAGAAAATATAAAGGAATAATACGAATATTGACACATAAAAGCATATTTCTGCTAACAAGAAAATCTTTTAAACCAGTTCAGAAAATTTTAACAATTGAATTTACGACATTGTTATCATTAGATCAAGTTCATTGGAAGAAAAATAAAAATTATATAATATGTAAAAGTAATGCATGAAAACCCTTAGGTTAGTTTATGAATTATCATAAAAAATATATGTTTTCAAGATTTATTAGAATAATAAATTTTTTTTCTAATTAATTGCTCCGTTACTGGTTTCTGTGNAAGAAAATATTTTCAATATATTTATTTTGTTTTAAAAAATAAAGAAATAATCTTTAACGATACAATAACTACAATTATTGTTTTAAAAAGTTTACGTTAAGCTTAACATCGACGAAAATTCAACGCAAAGCGACACGCAACGGAGAAAAATTTCAACATGGGATAAGTTAATGTATTTTTTCGTACATAATCGGTTATCCGAAAAATAAGTTATCCGAACAAACCCAGTCCCCAATTGATTCGGATAAACGACGCTCTACTGTACCTCAGAATTTTTTTCACTTCTCGACATTTCTAGGTTTCATTCGACTAAACAGACAAATATCGTAGATTATATTCTAGATAATAAGAAGTTTGTGGTATTATATCTTTTCATATCAAGGAAATAAACATGACTTCGAATTGAATTTTTATTTCTTTCATAAAATATTCTAAACAATATACAGGANTAGTTTGAGTCTGGATTGTACCACATAATTCGAAATTCGAATCACGAGGAGCTTAACTCTGATCGATTGCAAAGACAAATACAAAGATTTATCAAATGTAATAAAACTTTTATGCTTTTTCTGCAAATTTTAACTCTAAAACAGTTGAAAAATAAAATAAATTAAATGATATAATTAGTTTTTACGTTTTAAATTACGTTATAATGTGACAGGATTGCGGAGAAACAGATTAATCTCAGCTTAACTTTCTGCCAAACTCTCCATAAAAGTTACATGTTACATAATTTTCTGAGATTAGGCTACAAGATTCTGTCAAAATTATGGTATTTCTAATGCTGTGATAATTCGAGATTCTTCTATGAATTTTTATGGAGGTATAAAGCAAATTCGTGAAAATGGGAGACTACGAATTTGTTATCGAAACGGAGCAGGAAGACTTCTGATTATTGGTTTCTAACAATGTAAAGGCCACCGTAAACTAGGCAATATAGAAGCAAATTAGTTCGATCATCTCCCGCTTGATGCCCGCAGTCGACTCGATGTCATTCTATTATACGTCACACCAGAGTCGATAGATATACTGGTCCTTGGACCTTCTCGTCCTCCCTCTCCGGGGGTTTTCGTCGGGGCAGATGCGATCTATCCATCGACACACGCTAACGAGGGGCCGTTAAGACCGGGGAAGAAAACGCGGAAAGAAGGAATTTTTGGAAGAGGAATTCGGGACAGGAGAGGGAGTGCAAAGTAGTGGTCCCTGAGAGCGGAATAAAGTTTGTTTTGTGGAAATATTGGACTAGTTGATTAATTAGTGTGATGAACCGACGGGGCGGAATCCGCTGATTAAAAACGAGTTCCCTACATTGGCGCAGCCGACAGGATCGTGAAGTCAGATCGACAGGATTCGATCTGTGAAGAGAGTGATTACGAGCCAGAATAAGAAGAGTGGATCGGAACCAAGCTGAGTGGGTAATTGGGCACGGCGCTAAGGTTTGAGGAATATACAAGGTGTACACCAGAGAAGAGGTAGGAAAATTTTGTACTTGTCGGAAACGAAATTCACGGCGGAATGCTAAGCGTAAAGGGAGTTAAGAAGGAAGATCTACGGATCGTGGCAGAAGAGCTTTGTGGCACGATAGACGACAATCTGAGGGTATCGGAGTTAAGGGAACTTATTACGAAAAGTGACGATTTCGCTAGTGACCCAGATTTTGTGCTGAAGATTTTGACTTCCACTGTTACGGAAAGGAAACGGAAGGAGGAACAAGAGAGCCTAAAAAGGGAACAAGAGGGGCTAGAAAGGGAACGCCAGCACGAGTTAGACCTGGCGCGGATTAACGCTACTATTCAAAGCAGGGCGAGTAACGGTAGTCCCAGTCCTACGAAGGGCCATCCGGGTGATGGGCCCGTCGGGAGTATTGAGAAATTGATTACGAGCGTGAAAACGTTAACATTGCCAGTCCCAACTAAGCCCGAAAATTGGAACCTATTTTTCGTATCTATAGAGCGAGCGTTCCAATCGAAGAATGTGCCGGAAGAGATGAAAGCGGAGATACTGATCAATATTCTGGGAGAAAAGGCCGCAAACATTTTGATTTATATAACCGAAGACGAGTTAAAGGATTACTCAAGCGTGAAGAAATTAGTGTTACGAGAATACGAACCGTCCGCCCAATGCTGCCTGGAAAATTTTCGGAGTGCTAGGCGTAGGCCCGACGAGACTCACATGCAATTTATGTCGAGAATAGCGTCGTCTTGGGAATACTATTGAGGAGAGTGAAGGACTTGGAAACTGCAAAACAATTAATCGTGGCGGACAGATTATTTCAGACGCTGGATGCCGAGACGGCGGCCCATATAAGCGTACGTCAAGGCGAGGGTTGGTTTAACCCTATCGATATGGCGAGAGAGTGCGACCTATATTTCGAAAGCAAGGGAAAATCTCTAACCGAGACGTACAACGAGTCGCAAGAGTCGCGGCGTCTTCCAGAGTGCCAGGAGTACGATCACCCACCACTGAGAGATGAGGGACAGAAAGACACACTCAACTATCGTCAGGAAATGAAACGGAGGGAGTGCTTCATCTGTGGATCAACGCAACATATTTCTAGATCCTGCCCGCGGAAGATAAGGGATACACCCATAAACGATAGTCGCACTCAACCCTCGACCGGTCGGGGACGGAACGACGTCGCGATAGTGGGGAGTGAGGTCAGAACACTTTGACGAAAAAACGAGCAGCTGATTAAGAACGGGTTCCCTACAGTTACCATTAAGGCTAAGACATTTCTCCCAACGTGTAACAAGTTTCTTCATTCCGTCACTGAAAAATTCTTCTCACTTTTTTTGAATCCAGGACTTGACAGCTGCCTTCAGCTGATCGTCCGAGGTGTAATGATTAACCTTGAGGTCTCTCTTGAGTAGAGGAAAAAAATTAAAATCGCAAGGTGCAGGACTGGGGGAATAATCTTGCACCTTGCGATCTTCTACAGTATTAAAATATTCAGATATAATCCAGATTGAATTTCAGGTAACAAACACACTATTTATATTTTCAATAAATAAGCATAATACAAAATTTTGCGTTCCTTGTTCCCTTGATCTTTGTACATTCTCTCCATGCCTTTCTTCATTCGCTTTCTGTTCATTTATCCTCTCTCGTTCTTCATTTGCACGCTCTTTCTGTTCGTTCATCCTCTCTCTTTCTTCATTTTCACGCACTCTCTGTTCATTCATCCTCTCTCTTTCCTCAATCGCACGCTCTCTTTGTTCATTCATCCTCTCTTTTTGTTCAATCTCCCTTTCTTTTATTTCATTTGCTTTTTCTCGCTCTTCATTTGCTCGCTCTCTTTGTTCAATCGCATATCGTTCACCCGCTCTTTCTCTTTCAAGAGCGGAAAGAGAAATAAAAGAAAGGGAGATTGAACAAAAAGAGAGGATGAATGAACAAAGAGAGCGTGCGATTGAGGAAAGAGAGAGGATGAATGAACAGAGAGTGCGTGAAAATAAAGAAAGAGAGAGGATGAACGAACAGAAGAGCGTGCAAATGAAGAACGAGAGAGGATGAACGAATAGAGAGATCACGCCAATTCATTTTCACGCACTCTCTGTTCATTCATCCTCTCTTTTTGTTCAATCTCCCTTTCTCTTATTTCATTTGCTTTTTCTTTCTCTTCATTTACTCGCTCTCTTTGTTCAATCGCATATCGTTCACTCGCTCTTTCTCTTTCACTCGCTCCTTGTTCATCCGCTCTTTCACCATGCATTCTTTGTTCATTTTCTCTTTGTAACCTTCTTCTACTTTCTTGTGCTTCTGTTCTTACGATTTGACGTCTTAACTGATTTCTCTCCCTGTTTTTACGCAATCTTTCCTCTTGCTGTTGTGATGTCTCATTATTTCTTCTCCTTCGTTCCCGTTCTTTATTTTTTTTTTTTGTCTTTCTCTTTCAATTTTCTGTAAAAGTTCCATCTTTTTTATACAAACTTGGTTCCTCAGTTATAGAACTCAGATCTGTTGAATGGAAACTCTTCGTTGTAGTAGTCGAGCTGGATGTTGTGGTTAATGCAGGCCTGGGAGTGCCATTTTCCCTCTGAAAAAGTGAGAAAAGTGAGTTGAAATACAGAAAAAGTGAGTGCAATACAGGTAGCCCTCGGTTTATGCCGGCTCAGTTTACGCCAATTCACAATAACGCCGCTGCGCAATTCGCCATTTCGCAGTGTAATTTCCCGATTTTCCCTATGCTAGAATGATTTTCATTTCAGTGTTGACGTATTTACCAACCCGCGACATTGTATATTCGTTAAAACAAAGATTTTTCTTGAATATATTTATTTTTTGTGCTTATTGTTATTGGGTATGTATACATTTGCATTAAATTAATATTAAAATATTAAACATTTAGGTACCCACGAGTCAAGTTATTAAACTTAATAGTCCAATAAATGGTTCCGAAACCATAGTGCCAATGAATGTATCCCGTATCGATCTGATACGGGATACATCGTTCAGGAAAACACTTTATGACGCAGTAGCACTTCCGGCGATCACAAATTATTATTAGTGAGACAAATCTACTTCTCATTGGCCAGACGATATCTATCTCTTCTTAGCCACCTTCAATTTTCCTGCTCAAACTGACCTTATATATAGGCTACAACAACCAGTGGTCGACCAATCAGTGTCACCGCTTGTCTGTAGCTCTACGTAGGGTTAATGTATCCTTTCAACTATGGAAAGTTTGACGGATGAACTTTGTGAGTTAGACAATGATTGGGAGAGAATTGCAAATGTAAAAAGGAGCATCATATTCGACCATATTCCGAAATTCTCAATGAAAGAAAACAAAAATGTAAACAATTAAAGATGGTTTTTAAGCCTCTGTTTTAAAAATCTCATAGTGGCGGCAACGTAAACGAGATCTGAATTAAAACAGTGGTCACTTAAAGGAATAGAATACACTCCTGTACTATTGTTACGGTTTCCTTTCTTCTTATGATTTGGTAGAATTCTATATATCGTAGGATTACAATGATAAATTATTCTTAAATTACTCTTGTGAGCTAATTTTTTAATCATCGAGTGTAGGAAAGGTTATTAAAGACAGATCCTTTTTTCCGAAAAATGTAGATTTGAAACTAAAATTTTTTAATAAAAACATTTCACTTTATGATAAAATACATTTTAAAAATTAAATTTATATGTATTTTGCATTATATTGTATTAATAAACAAAATTATTTGCTTATTTTTCACTTATGTAGAACCTAACGCTATACCTCACTGTAAATATGGGTTCATTTTACGCTGATTTGATTTGTGCCGGCTTTTGTAGGAATGGAACTGCAGTGTAAACCGAGAGCTACCTGTAGTGACAAAACAAAGTGAAAACATGGAAGGAAAACTCAGCAAAATAGCAGTAAAAGTTTTTTCTTTTTATTGTTATGGTTAAATACATTTTAAAACTTTTTGTATATACTGTAATATTTCCAGTAAACCATGAATACTTAATAAGTCTTTGGCTTCTGTAAATAATCAGTCATGAAAGATGATGTTCTTTTATTAAGATTTTTCTGGATGTTTTCAGCTTTCTTATTTTTTGCTTCCTCTTGCTTTTAAACACTTTTAACACTAACAAGCATGACACGTGCTGCCCGTATTTCATTCATATTCTTGCTATTAATGGCCTTCTCCAGTTTTTTGTTTGCTGCTTCTAACAAAACCTGGCCTGTCTCTTGTATTTCACTTCTACTTTTTTCTGTTTTAAACTCTGCTGCAGTGCCATAATCTTTTCCTTGACATGAATAGCTCTCTTTTGATGTTCTTCAAAATTTTTCTTTGCTTCCTCTTCTGCTCTTTTTTTCTGTTTCTCTTTTTCTTTTAACTTCTTTTCATTTTCCAATTGATCTTGATAATTTCT